AAACCAAAAGAAAAATTAAAGTTTTGTCCCATTTATAAATATTATTGATTTTTTTTCATCATATTTGTGACTGCTTTATAAAAAAAGTTATTTTTCTTTGTAGTTTTATTTCTTGACTATTCCAATGGTCCAACTAACGTTTTTTCGTAATCACAATAAATACATTATTATCATGGTCCAACGAACGCGCACCTCATCACCTTGTGAGGGAGCCGGTAAAGAAGCCGCTGCGTACATTCGTATCTGGTCTAGGTAATCTGTGCCATGGGACAGCGCCCTGCTTGTGACATATAATCCATCGCATGTGTTCATCTCTTGCTAAGCGATATTGTCGTTGTCCTTGTTTTTCGCATCATAATGAGAGATAAAACAACAGAGGCACACACATTTACTGTACCCTGTGCCCATCTTAATATCGGAATTCTCGGAACGTCGCTCAACGCCCGGTCGTCCAGTGTCGTGCCAACGCGGTTTGCGCTGAATATTAGATAAAATAATAATAGACATTGAGGAAAATATAAAATATGTAAGTTATTTTTTTTTAGGGCAAACCGCCACTGTGCAAGACGTAACTGTAACGATCCAAAAGGAAGTCAAATGTCTTTTGACCAAAACATGAGAATGGGACAACATGTCAGAAATGTGACTAAAAAAGCGGAAAGGGCCGTAGCAAATATTAGCAGGATTCTACCCAACACTGGATAATTTTGTGCAGTGAGCTAAGTCCATAGTACTTTATGGGACAACAACATGAAACTGAGCCATGGAAAAAAAATACTCTCCTAAAAGTTCAAAGCAAAATAGCAATCAGAATGGCGCATTACCGAACAACCTCAACGGATGCATTATTGGTCATCGCTAGAACACCTATCCATCTATTAGTAAAAGAGAGTTGCGCTATGCGAAATGGTATGGATAAAATAGTGGCCACTGACCACATAATTCAGAAATGGCAACAAGAATGGCAGCAAGAAACCTATAAAAGTATTTGGACGAAAAGGCTGATACCCAATATTGAACCACAAGCTACAAGAAATCAAGGCGAGGTCTCATACTACCTTACACAGCTAATCTCTGGACACGGGTATTTTCCGGCATACCGATATAGGTTCCACGTCACAGAGAGCAATGAATCTCATTAATGCAGGGCAATAGACACAGAAGCGCACACATTTTTCGAATGCCAAAGATGGAGTAATGGAAGGACGACGTTAGAAAGCAAGATTGGGGATATAAATCCTGAAAATATAGTCAACAAAATGTTGGTAAACCAAAACAACTTATAATTTATAATAATAATAATGTTTATTTAGCTTTTTGGACAAACATATATCAAAAGAGTTTTATAACATATATATCATAAATAAACAAATTAAGGTCGATCCAGGTATATTGAAACCAACATAGGCTGTGCATGGACCCCCATTTGTATATTACACTTAATAGCATAAAAATAAATTTAACATTAATAATAATTATTCTAAGATTGTACATTAAATTATATTTATTGTAATAAATGCATTAAAAAAGAAAAATATATTAAGAAAAAGAAAAAACAACATATTTGAACACAATAACAACGATAATATAGAATTATTCAACAGATTGTTGGGGTGGGGGAGGGGGGCAGCGAAGAGAAGAATTTCTTTAGGTGTTATTTTCAATTAATTTTCTTGTTTCAAGCATACCTAAATTAATAATGTATTTTTTGAATGTATTTTTTATCATATTTGCAGAGTTTATTTTGTCTAGATATATTTTATAAACTTCAGGCAGATCATTATAAATTTTCCGTGACAGATGAGTATAACATTGTAAGCCAATAATTTTTTGCACTGGCTTAATTTTTATATTATTATTTTCTTTGTACCGTGTGGGATAGTCATGATTAACTTTTTCAAACAATTTTTTTTTTTTATAAATAAATGGAATAATTTGATGTAGAAACATTTGCCTAATATCTAGTATTCCGGTTTCCAAAAATAATTTATTAGATGGGTAAGTAATTTTCTTGTTATAAATTATTTTTAAAATTCTTTTTTGTAGCACATCAAGTTGTTTAAGATGGAAATATGCTGTACCTTCCCAACTCATTATGGCATACCTTAACCTTGATTCAACTAGAGCGTAATATAAAATTTTTAAGTATTGTATATCTAAAATATTTTTTAAGTATTTAAAACGGTATAATAACTGTCTTAGATTTTTAGTTAGTATATTCACGTGAATATCCCATTTTAAATGCGAATCTATGGTCACTCCTAGATATTTATAATGTTCTTTTGAGTTTATAATAATATTTTGTGAGGAGTTTTGTATCGGTATTGTTTTATATTCTGGTAGGCATCTTATATTATTAGAAAATGGCAAAAAAATGTTTTTTCATAATTTATAGTCAGTGACAGATAACCAAACCTGTTAAATATCTGTTCTAAATCATTTTTGGCTTTAATTTTTATATCGTTCCATGTTTTATCAGCATATAGGACAGCAGTGTCATCTGCAAAGCTGATAATTTTTTCACTAGAAACCGAAGTAATCATTACATTAATATAAATTGAAAACTAAATTGGTCCCAGGACAGTTCCTTGAGGTAAACCGTAACTAAAAGTTTTTTCTGAACTTGTGATATTATCAATTTTTACTATTTGTAAGCGTTCTGATAAATAGTTTAGAAATAATTCGTTGGGTACTCCACGTATTCCCGCATCCTTCAAGGCTTGTAACATCTCAGTGTGACACAGTATCGAAGGCCTTAGCAAGGTCCAAGAATACACATAAAGTTGGGTTACTTTTCTCTAAAAACGTTGAGATGTAATCTACAAGTTCTCCTATGGCATCATTAGTTGTTAAACCATCTTTAAATCCGAATTGTTTTTCAGAAAAAATTACCTTATTATTTACTAAAAATTTAACAACTCTGTTTTTTAAGGATTTTTCAAATGTTTTAGCGAGAGATGTTATGACTGAGATTGGTCTATAGTTGTTTAATTTTTTGTTATCGCCTTTTTTATGTACCGGCGTAATAACCACTATTTTAAATTCTTGAGGTACTGTACTTGTAATAAAAATTCTATTTATGATATGACTTATAGGTTTTGATATTATATCTGAGGTTTTTCTAAGTACTTCTGATTTTATATTATCATATTTAAGTTTTAATCATTTAATTATTGTTATTATTTCTTTTTCATTCACAGGTAATAAAAACAATAAATTTTGATATTTTTCTCTAAGTGGTGGTGGTGTATTAGGCTTTTTAATTTGTCATATAATTTGCCAACATTAATAAAAAACTCATTAAAAGTTTCTACAATGCTCGCGGGGGTATTACAGATTACATTGTTTGTAATTATTTATTTGGGATTTTTCTTTCTGTCATTTACACAAATGTTTTTGACTACATTCCATAGTAATTTTTATATGTGTGGTATGTTATTTTTTTACATTCGCTTTCAGGATCATTTTTAAATTCGCTGTATAGTCTGTTTTTTTCATTAACGGAGTTTACAATGCCAGCACTAATCCACTGAGTACGTTTGATATTACCTTTTTGATTTTTTTAAATATGTATTTTGTTTAATTAAAGATTTTAATAAACCAATGAAATTTTTTGTTAAATAATTCGCATCCATTTTATTATATAAGTTATCCAAATTATAACTGTTCAGATCATTTCTTAAGTTATTATAGTTTATGTATTGAGTATTTCTGCTTGTATTATTAGGTGACTTTCTTTTTATTTCCATGGGTATTCCTAATATTGTTGCTTTATGATTAGTAATATTGTTTTCAAATATCATGGAAACGCATTTCACCTCAAAGTTAGGAATTTTACTATTTAGGAAAATATGATTTAGATAGTTTCCTGTCGTGTTATACACTCTAAGTGTTTTTATTTACCATAGATACAAAATATTTTACTATCAATTTGATTCTACATAATTTTGGCATTAACAATCAATTGATTAAAGACCTCGAGCTAAAGCTCTCGGGCTCTAATCAGATTATTAATGCCAAAAGTTATGTTTCATCAAATTGATAGTAAAATATTCTTGAGATTTAGATTCAACAAACTATTATCTAGGTCTTTGTAAATTAGGTACCTTTGATAACTTCCCGCGTTAAGTCTTTTCAGTACTATTTATTAAACTAAAAATAATACTTATTTATTACAAGATATTAAATTTCAAAACATGAGTTCCTTATTTCAATATATCTAAAGCAAAGGTCAAAAAAAAAAAATGTTAATCGTTAACATTTATTATGCAAAATTAACTTTCAAAATTATTTAATTTGTATTTAAAAAATGGTGGAAACTAAACTTTTTTTACTCATTGAGTTTTTACTCTGGACCTTCAATAATATTTATTGCTAAAACAACACTGCCCTGTGCTGGCCGAAACTCTAAAATTCGGAATTATATTTTTAATCTGTACTTTAAACAGCAGAAAAATTAATTGTTTTGCCTCTAAACCAATATTAACCAGAAGCATTAAATGAAACTGTAATCATAAAAACATAATAATCATAGTAATCAAATGAATTCCTACAAATTAATTTTTCTGTTGATATAATAACAGCAATAATGGTTATCCAGCAATTCAACGTCAATGGGCGGAGCGTCATCGATGACGTATTCGGGTTGTTCTTAGGCTTTGAGATTATTTGTAAGACAGTACTGTTGTAATAATAACTAATAATAAAATGGTTGGAATTATTTTTGTTTATTGTTAAATTGGACAAGATATGAAGTAAATTTTCAAAGTTAATATCTAACAAAATATGTTTTATTTTCTAACTAAGTATAAAGTTCTTTATATGTTTCGAACAGTTTGTATATCCTCAGCTGTGATGACAATATCAAATAGAAAAATAACTATTTTTAACCCAATACTTCGTAGTTAAAAATGTTTGTTATCTGATAAACAAACAATTGGAGGATTAATTTTAATATTCTTATTAAACTAACTTTACTTTATTAAAAAAAATTTACTTACGTTGGATCTCATCCTGGTTTAGAGTAAAATCGAGTTTGGTCTACTAGTTCCGCATCAACTTCAACAATTATTGTTATTATCAATAGAGGAAGAACGCACTTCGTTGTGATAAGAGAGTGCAACTGATGGATTCGAAATTTGAAGAGTGTTTGTCTGTCTATGAATAATTTTGAACTGCATCTTATCATTTGGATTCCACTATTAATAATATTTGCGGCTGCTGAGTTGACATCTGAACCCTGGATGATAGTGTTTTTAGGTATTATTGAATGCAGAACCGTCCTTAACATTGTTTTTGTTTTTAATTTAAAAATTAATGAATAGGGGAGAATAGGGACGAAAGTAACACTTGTACGCTACCTCGGTATCTATTCTCAAATTTAATAGATTAGAAATTTTAAAAGAAGAATTCAAAGATACGAATACGAATTTTTAACGTTGAAGTTAAAGAGGAGAAACTGGTATTCTATTTCCTCGAATTTAAGAATACTACAAACTAAGTTAATACTTATTTAGCTCAAGATTTCATGGAAAATGTCGTACGCCTTCTTCTTCTCGGCCATCTTTTGTACTTTTTTGGATATCACTTTTTATCGATTTCTTCAATTTTTCATATATAATGTCATTATCTTCATTTTCTCTCTTGGTTTCACTAATTTTTCCACTTTGATTCACGTTTTTTTTTGTTTTATTTTTTCCTCTTCTTCCTCTTTTATAGTTTTTTTATTTTCTTAACATTTTATCTTAAAATTGACTTGAGTCCATTAAGTTTCAGGATAAAGTCACAAATTCAATTGTAACCGCTTAGTTTAAACTTGGAATTCTCTTCCTGCTAGAATTTTAACTTAATTACAAGTATTAGCCGTAGAGTACTGAATCATCGACAAAACTGATGATTTTACCTTTTAAATTAAGTTCCAACAAACCATTTATAAACAGTAGGAGCCCTAATACAGTACCTTGAAGCATTCTTTATTTAATTTTCCTCAATGTACCCTTTGTATCCTCCAACTGAACAGTTTTTTAAATATGGTTTAAATAATTCAAATTATTTGCCTCCGAGACCACATTAATTCAGCTTATTCATCAAAGTTTTGTGACAAACAGTATCAAATGCTATAGATAAATACACTGCTTGTCAAATCACATATTGCGTACTCTATAGATTTACATCTAAAACCGTATTACTTCTCGGAAAAAATATAAAATTTATCAACAATATGTAAAATTTTCAATCCGACTCCAAGGGAACGGTATAGAAACACAATGCTATTGAACAGAGATTGACTGCCGGCCGTAATTTTCCATCCTTCGATATCAACTATAATATTGCATAATTCATGATTTTACTTTTATCTTCTGTTTTAAACAAGGGTTATAGATATACTTACGCGGGTTTCGGATTAGCAAATTAGTCATTGACAACCAGTTCCAATAAGCCTCTTCCCAAGAAATTAGGTAAAACTGCCCTAATGGTCAGATTTAAATTAAAATAACATTAGGGTAGGTACTAAATTTGTTACAAATATTGTATGTATATTGTAAATTTAGTGAAAATTTTAAAAATGCCTAGACGTGTGTTAGATGTAGATAGTCTAATTTGTAGTGTACATAAGTATTTTACAAATGAAAAAGAAAATGGCGGTCCTTTAAAATCGGTAATGTCTGTACAACAACACGTATGCGATAATTAGTGAAACCAAATTAAGAGGAGTATTACAAAATCACAATAGTGAACTGCCGAAAAAAGATCACCGCAAAACTCGCCCATCATTGAAAACGAAAGATATTCCAGATGGAAAGAAATTTGAAATTCGTGATACCATTTATCGAATGAGGGCCAACAAGGAACATGTGACCTTAAATACAATTTTCTTGGAATTAATAGATAGAAAATTTGACGACATTGGCAGAACAAGTCTATGGCAAGTGATACATAACTTGGGTTTCAAATTTCAAAAGGAGGATAACAGAAAGGCCCTTTGTTAAAGAAGTTCTGTCGTTCACAAGAGAATTAACTTTTTAAGAAAATATTCTAAATTTAAAGAAGGGTGAATTTTATATATGTAGACGAAACATGGATATTTTCTAGGGGTGCAACCAAGAGAATATGGCAAGATGATAACGTAGAGTCCATCAAATATGCCGATGGAGAAGGGAAGCGACACATAATTTTACATGCAGGAGGGAAATCGGGTTTTAGAGAAGGTGCTGATTTAATATTTTCATCTAAATCAAAATCCAGTGACTATCACGATAATATGAACACAGAAATGTTTGTAAAATGGTTGCATGAAAAACTTCTCCCAGGTTTAAGTGAGCCCAGCGTAATTATTTTAGACAATGCACCTTACCATTCTGAAGTATTAAACAAAAGTCCAACGAATTTTTGGACTGTTGATAAAATTAAAGAATGGTTAACAAAGAAACATATACCATTTCCTCAATATATATTAAAATCAGAATTATTACGCTTGGCAAATATGCACGCAAAACCAAAAACCTTTGTTGTGGATCAGATTATTGAAAGTTACGGTCATTAAGTTTTACGTCTGCCACCGTATCATTGACAGTTTAATCCCATCGAATATACATGGGGAATAGCAAAACAATATTATGACAACCACATTGGGCCTTATGGTTATAGTGACGACGCAGTTCGGGAAACTTGGCGAAAAGCACTTTCAATTGCAACTCCAGAAGTGTGGCGGAACTGTATATCCAAGTGCGAGAAACTAATAGAAGATTGGTGGACTCGTGAAAATAAAATAAACGAAATAAGTCCAATCATAATAACAATTAATGATGATGACAGTGATGATGATGACGATTATGATATTTTGGATGATAATGACTGATTTTCATTTTTGTTGGCAAGTTCAATTTTTTTATTTTTCATTTGATATTTTATTTGAGCTAAATAACCCTCTTATTATACATAGACCATATTTTCTGTGTGAAGTGTAATATATAATTATTATTAGGTTTATAATAGCCACATTAGACTCCATGAATGAAGAAGTTTAATTCTGCTCTCAATTATACAAAAGATTCTCCATTATTATTTAATTAAAAAGTTGTACATTATTTTTCATTTCATTTAACCAGTTGATATTTCCCCAAAGAACAGGTCAAACTGTCGTGTACTTACCTGGAAATACTCATAAAATTTTTAATCCGAAACCCGCGTAAGTATAGCGAATAGACTATAAATCCTATTTTTAAACAAACTGGGAAATATCCAGTATCTAGTATTCTGTATATTAAGTATTTTAGAGGATATAGAGTACCTATATAGAATGTAATTTAGTCTATCAACAAAGTAAAACATTGCAAAAGCGAGTCAGTAACGCATTAAGTGTTATTATAAACAGGGATTATGTTCGTTTTAAATAAACTTTTGCTGCAAAGTATTTAATTTTTTTTAACTGGGAATAAGTAAATATCTGAAAAGTCTGTTAAATTTTAGTTAATTTATTTATATTTGATAAAATTGTAAACGATTTTTGTTTCTCCTGATGAATATGGTTCGACCATCCACGCTAAATTTATGAAACATATTTATGTTAATATTTATGGTAATAATAAGACAAAAGTTATTCCTCTAAAATGTTGTTTCCAAGCTTCAAATTGCAAAAGAATATGATGAACACACGTAATCTACAGCCGATACTGGCTATTTACTTCTATACAAATTCAATTTCATCGAAGAAAAAGATAAGAAACTAATATTCTTAGATAATAAACATTTTGGTTTACTCTTTCCAAACAAAGGTTAGATAAGATTCTTCTAAATTCTAAATTCAAAGAATCTGCATTTTAATTTAGTTTTGTCATAAATGGGTAAAGAATTTTCCATTTATTTGTAATAGAACAGGTTTTTAAACTTTATAGAATGCATAACAGGTAAGTTAGAAATAAAACAATAGATATTCTTATGCATTAGAAATTACAGAGAATTTTTTGTTTTTATTTATTATGAACCGAGTGTCTACAGGGCCGCCGAGAGCCAGGCCGGTCCCCAGGACAATTCTCTAGATCGGGCCCCGTGACAAAAAAATCTTTTACCAAAAACTGTTCCTCTTCTACTGAAATAGAATTTTTTCTAAAAACAAAAAAAACCTCGCATCAAAAAACTATTCTCCCTACTTCAATTACTTCTTCTTCTAAAAAAAGTCCTCAGCCGAAAAAAACTTCTCTAGGCTAAAACTCTTTTCCTCTACTTATATTTAATTTTAATTGAAACTTAACTTCCCTCTCTCATCTTGTGTCGAATTTCTCATGCAGAACAAAAAAACCTGTTGTCGGGCCCCCCTTACAGCGCTGCCGGGCCCCCATTTAAGCCCGGGCCCCGGGAATTAGTCCCGGCTACCCCCCTCTAGTCGGCCCTGAGTGTCTAGAACAAATGAGTAGCTCCTATAACTTTTTTGTTTCGGAAGGCAAATAAATTAAATTTGGTACATGTGCATACTTCATTTATTTTTGTTCTATCATTTCTGGTTTCAACAGACGGTACCCTAATTTGATTATTTTAACTGGTGAAGAATTGTTCAGAAGCTTATACATATAATGTTTTTGAGAGCGCTGAACACAAATATAAACTTTGCCACCTTCAATTTTTCCTGGAAAAAAAAGTGATTTTATTTTATTTTTTCAATAATAAACAAAATATGTGGTTTTCACCTACACATATCTGATGTGTTCTCCACATGATTTTCAAGTATAGCTAGATATTTCTTCTTTAACCAAAATACATCTAATAAAAAACTTTTGCAAGGCTTGAGAAGAGGAGGCCTGTCAAAGTTTATCAGGCTCGCAAACTTCAATGAACGTTATAGCGACCACTTTTTGTTAAATCTATGCATTTTGATTGTCAATTTTTTTTTAAATGTTAGGTAAGTAATAGCTTATAAATAATTATAGTTACAATTTATCATTACAACAAATCTTGTTTATAATGTATTTGTTGATTACGACATTGTAGATAAACATCGCATTTAAGTCGTCTGCTGTAAAGCCATTCGGTTTGTTTTAGATTAGATTTGAGGATACTACGCAAAGAAATGCTGTATAAATGCTAATCAGATGGATTTTCGTAAGTTACTGTTTAAATTTAATTAAAATTCAGGGACATTTAGCGAAGAAGATTTTGCAAATGGCTGTTTCAACGTTTCTCTCTTTTAGCAATTTTAAGTAAATATTTCCTTGCATGTTTATTAGTTTCTTAATCTGTTTTGAGTTATT